CTTCCTTTTTTTTTTTTTTTTTTAAATGTATCATTGATAAAAGTGAGTGTTATGCTCTTAAATGTTTTCCCCATCGGCCATGTTGTTCTTAATGTAGATTCTCATAGTTCAGTGCTTTATAGGAACTTTTATGTTTTATTATAGTTGAGAATTTTTATAAATGTATCACCGAACTATATATTTTCTAATGCTGTTTGACATTGAATTCACATTTTTTGGTCTTATTTTCCTGAGCAGGTTTCGTAGGAAAAGGTCACATCAGTTAAATTTTACTCAAAATAATATTGACAAACATCAAAAGAGAGGAACAGGGGATCTTTTCAATTTCAAACTTCGTAAGCTTTATTCTAGGGTGCTTTTCTGAAAATACAGTTTATTTTCCTTTTATACTTAATGTCTGTTCTGTTCAATCCCTGTACCAAACAAACAAAAATGTCTGATGCTCAGTAAGTTTACATTAATATAAAAATAGTTCTGAGTCTCTTTTTGACCTTCCATATTATTTAAAAACGTGCTTCACTGAAATCTTTTTTTTTATTGAGTGTGGTTGGAGCATACCTATCATCCCAGCAACCTGAGGCAGGAGAATTGGAGACTTGAGGCCATCCTGGGCAACTTAGGAAGACCTGTCTCAAAATAAAAAATAAAGAGGGTCAGGGAGATAGCCAGTGGTAAAGCAGCCTTGTGTTCAATCTCCAGTACCAAAAAAAGAAAAAAAATCTTTTCCCCAAAAGTAATGTATAGAGCTGGGGATCAGTAGTAGAGCATTACCTAGCATTTCTAAGTCCTGAGTTCAATCCCTAGTACCACAAAAACAGAACAAAACAAAGGTAATATATAATAACGGTCATTTAAAATACACTTAATAGCAGCCAATTTGGAAAGCAGTATGGAGATTTCTTGGAAAGCTGGGAATGGAACCACCACTTGACCCAGCTATTCCCCTTCTCGGTCTATTCCCTAAAGACCTAAAAAGAGCATGCTACAGGGACACTGCTACATCGATGTTCATAGCAGCACAGTTCACAATAGCAAGACTGTGGAACCAACCTAGATGCCCTTCAATAGACGAATGGATAAAAAAAATGTGGCATTTATACACAATGGAGTATTACTCTGCATTAAAAAATGACAAAATCATAGAATTTGCAGGGAAATGGATGGCATTAGAGCAGATTATGCTAAGTGAAGCTAGCCAATCCCTAAAAAACAAATGCCAAATGTCTTCTTTGATATAAGGACAGTAACTAAGAACAGAGTAGGGACGAAGAGCATGAGAAGAAGATTAACATTAAACAGGGATGAGAGATGGGAGGGAAAGGGAGAGAGAAGGGAAATTGCATGGAAATGGAAGGAGACCCTCATGGTTATACAAAATTACATACAAGAGGAAGTGAGGGGAAAGGGAAAAATAATACAAGGGGGAGAAATGAATGACAGTAGAGGGGGTAGAGAGAGAAGAGGGGAGGGGAGGGGGGATAGTAGAGGATAGGAAAGGCAGCAGAACACAACGGACACTAGTATGGCAATATGTTAATCAATGGATGTGTAACTGATGTGATTCTGCAATCTGTATATGGGGTAAAAATGGGAGTTCATAACCCACTTGAATCAAAGTGTGAAGTATGATATATCAAGAACTATGTAATATTTTGAACAACCAACAATAAAAATTAAAAAAAAAAGAAAAATAAATAAATAAAATACGCTTAATACACTTGATGGAGAAGGTGGGCTTGCTCTTATAATAAATCGTTTGTGATACATTTGTCATAGGAAAGAATTGTAATGCAAAGTAAATATAAGTTGAACCTGGTGAATAAAGATTTGTTAATCATGAGGTTGAATGTTGCTATGCTTTATTAAGTAATTTTAATAGGTATACTTGGTGTTTATGTGAAATATTTTCATTTTGCTTACATATTATGTGGTTTCATTTAGACTTACTCATTATGAATTTATTTTCTTCCTTAGGTATCTTTAAAAGTTTCATTCCCCACCCCACTTCCCACCCCTGCATACTTCTCAGTTTTTTAGTTTTGTACATTATACCTTAGTAGATTTTTTAGTTTTTACATGTTTGAATACCCGCTCTGCCTTGCCAGCAGCAGTGGTTCAGATTAACAGTTGGACTCATACAACAAAATAGACTTCATCAGCACTAAGTTTCTTTTAAGAAAAGAGACAGGATAGGAAGTAACACAGCTAGGACAACAGCGTATTGGAGATCTCATGATTTCCAGGCATCTTATATTTGATGTGTTCATGTTTCTCCCAAGAAACATAACTGAATGTTCAGTTAAATCATTGCATTTGGGTCTCTGCAGCTTTTATACCTTGTTCTCATTCTCTAGTGCAGCAGCATGTACTAAATTACCATTCTTGACAGTGAAGCATAAGCCCTTGGGGCACGCACATAGTAACTTCAGCCAGATTCTCATTTATCTTGGATTTATTATGTTCCTATGAATTCTGAGTTAAGAATTGCAGGGGCTGGGGATGTGGCTGAAGAGGTAGTGCGCTCGCCTGGCATGCGTGGGTCGCTGGGTTCAATCCTCACCACCACATAAAAATAAAAAAATAAAGATGTTGTGTCCACCGAAAACTAAAAAATAAATATTAAAAAATTTTTTTCTCTCTCTCTTAAAAAAAAAAAAAAGAAAAGAAAAAAAGAATTGCAAAGATAATTTGCCCACGTATCAAATCAGGTTAAGCTGAACATGATGGTGCACGCCTGTAATCCCAGCGACTTGGGAGACTAAGGCAGGAGGATCACAAGTTTGAGCCCAGCCTCAGCAACTTAGCAAGACTCTAAGCAACTTAGTGAGACCCTTTCTCAAAAATAAAACAAAAAGGGTTGGGGATGTAGTTTAGTGGTAAAGTGCCCCTAGGTTCAATTCCTAATACTAAATAAAAAACTAAAAGCAGACAAAACAAATCCTCAGTGTTTCTAAAACTAACACAAACCAGCTCTTAACTCCTTGACTAAGGTCCTTTAATCAGGGAGCCAACAGACAGTTCAAAGATGTATTTCCTTTGTGATTATTGTATAAGAAATATTGACATGTGCAAGTAAATAAAATGGATAACATAATTTTTATTATCCACCTTCAATTTATTTATGACTGATCTTGTTTTATCATGTCCAGCTACTTCTTCCTCAGAATCACTCCCTCTTTTTTGAATGTGGGATCTCACTGTTTTGCCCAGGTTAGTCTCAAACCCTGGGTTCAAATGATCCTGCCTTGCATGCTTCCTGGAGTAGCTAGGACTACTTGAGGCATGTGCCACTATACCTGGTCTTGTTAATACATTTTAGAGCAAATTCTAAGTATGACAATTTAATAAATACCAATAAATATTGCATTATTTTCAATAGAGAACTCTAAAAATATCATAATAATATACACATAATACACATAATCCTGATAATGTTCTATAATTATTTCTTAAATATTTTTTCAGCTATAGATCAACATAATCTTTATTTATTTTTATGTGGTGATGAGGATCAAACCCAGTGTCCCACATGTGTGAGGCAAATGCTCTACCACTGAACCACAACCCCAACCCCTCTATAATTGTTTTATTAATTGTTTTGTTGTTCGAATCTGGATCCAAATGAAATTTAAACATTGAGATCAGTCTTGTGAGTTGATACTGAGAATTGAACCCCAGGGGTTCAACCACTGAACTATATCTCTAGCTCTTTGTATCTTTTGTGTTGATATAGGATCTCGATAAGTTGCTAAGACTGACCTTGAACTTGAGAGCCTTCTGCCTCAGCCTCCCAAGTAGCTGGAATTACCCAGTGTGTCCCACTGAGTCCAGCTTGTACAGTATTTTTTGTTTATCATTTGAGCCAGGCTTGGTGGCACATGTCTGTGTATGATCCCACCTACTTGAGAGGCTGAGGAAGAAGAATGATTTGCACCCAGGCAGCCTGGGCAAAATATAATAAGAGTCTGTCGAGAGAGCGGGGAGGGGGGGGGCCTGCATTTGTTTAATAGATTCCCTTATCATTTCTTTTTATGTTTCTTTGAAATGTATTCTTTGACGAAGCTGTCATTTGTCATGTAGCATTTCCCACAATTGTACCCCCTGGATTTTATTAAGTGAGCCTTTGTTTAAAATTTTTTGGACTCTTTTAAAAATAATTATTGCACCAAAATAAAATTTGAATTTGAAATGACTTTTGGTAGAGACCCCAATCCAGTTCTTAGGCAAGTGACTTCTGTTATGAATCTGTACTTCAACTAAATCTATATTTCTTAATCATTATAGGAGTATTCAGACATTGAAGCATAAGTCCATGCCAACAAAATGATGTTTCCTATCTTTGTTCCTACAAAGTTTTTTTTCCCCGATTTCCTTTCTGAGTTCTACCTCCAGCCTGATGATAAGAGAAAACATAGAAGCCTACATAAGATGATTAGAATCTAGGGGATCTTAAATGTTTAATTCTTTCCTCTTTAAAAGTTTGTTATTCAAGGGCTGAGGATATAGCTCAGTTGGTAGAATGCTTGCCTTTGTGTGCACAAGGCCCTGGGTTCAATCCTCAGCACCACAACAAAAAACCCAAAAAAGTTTGTTATTCAAATGTTTCTTAAATATAACTCAGTTTGGCATTTTTTTTAGTTGTCAGTGGATTTTTTTTATTTATATGAGGTGCTAAGAATAAAACTCAGTGCCTCACACATGCTAGGCAAGTGCTCTACCACTGAGCCACAACCCCAGCCCTCAGTTTGGCATTTTATACTAACATTTCTTTTCAAAAATTCTTTAGCCTAATAGGTATGATTTTGACCCATCGATCTGGAGATCTGAATTCTAATGCTGAGTCTTGATTCCTTTCTTGTACCTCATTACCCCTCAATTCATATAACTAGATGAGCTCAGTTAAATACTAGAGTTGTGTGAATCTACAGAAATTTTTAAATTTATGCTTATAAAGTTTATATAAAAATTAATTGAACCAAACCTTTTTGTTTTTATTAAAGTTAAGAAAGAAGAAAAGAAAAGGCATAAGTCATCGTCTTCTTCCTCATCGTCATCCAGTGATTCAGATAGCTCAAGTGATTCTCAGTCCTCTTCTGATTCTTCTGACTCTGAAAGTGCTTCTGAAGAGAAGTCAAAAAAAAGAAAAAAGAAGCATAGGAAAAATTCCCGAAAACACAAGAAAGAAAAGAAGAAGCGAAAGAAAAGCAAAAAAAGGTCTTACTTTTATAATAATAGCTTTATATTCTGATTCCCTTCTATTTTATAAATAAATCTGTTAAGATTCTGAATCAATTACACATGAGCATTATAATAGAAATTTTTATTGCCTAGAGTATCATAAGACCAATCTTATATGCTACAGTCACTAAATTAAAACAGTACATTCATTCCCTCTTAGTTCATTTTGTGTTTTCTCTAAGAAATGATGCACTAGTTTATAGTATAGGGTTTTGGTTTTGGTTTGTTTTGTTTTGGAGATTGAACCCAGGGTCTCAAGCATGCTAGGTAAACAGTCTACCAGTGAACTATATCCCCAACCCTTTTTATTTTATTTTGATACAGAGTATCATTAACTTGCCCAGACTGGCTTCAGATTTGCAATTTTCTTGCCTCAGCTTCCTGAGTAGGTGGGATTATAGGTACATGACACCGCACCAGTCTTATTTTTGCTTTTTTTTTTTTTTTTTTTCAAGAGATCTCACTCAGTTGCCCAGGCTGTCCCCCACCTCTCAGTCTCCTGCCTTAACCTTGCTAAGTAGCTAGGATTACAAGCACATGCCACCAGTCCAGATTTAGGTTTATATATTTTCTGTGAGATTGTTGGGATAATGAGGATTACAAAAAATAATGTGTTCCTTATTTTTTATAGTATTCTCTCCTGGGTTTTATGTTCTTTGTCTTCTTGGTTCTTATGATAGCATGTGGATTAAAAGCAGATATTAACTACATATTTGCTTTCTTTTCAGTTTTGTTTGCAATAATCTGTGTACTATAGACTTTAAAAATCTAATATCTTTACCCATAGATTTTAGAAAAATGTTTTTGAGTGTGGTAACAGTTTTGGGAGGTGTAGGATACCAGAGATTGAACCCAGGGGTGCTTAACCACTGAACCATATTCCAGGCCTACCCCTCCCCCTGCCCCCACTTTTGAGACAGGGTCTGAGTTATTTGCAGCCTTTTGTTGAGGTAGGCTTTGAACTTGCAGTCCTCCTACTTCAGCCTCCGAGCTCCTGGGAATACAAGTGTGCACCACCAGGCCTTGCTACAAATATTTTATTTTGGTTTTTGATTGGTTATTTGGTTTGTAAAAGGAATGGAAGAAGATTTTCCCCTTTGCAGGGGCGGGGGGACAAGATAGTATATATGTTGTGACATAAATGAGAGAAATAAAAACAATTGGGAATTTTGGGTATGTACATAATAACTAAATGAAATTTATTTTGTGTATTTCTATTAAGCCCATCTAGTGAAAGTGAAGCAGAAAATCTTGATGCACAACCCCAGTCTACTGTCCGTCCAGAAGAGATCCCTCCTATACCAGAAAATAGATTCCTAATGAGAAAAAGTCCTCCTAAAGCTGATGACAAAGAAAGGAAAAACAGAGAGAGAGAAAGAGAGAGGTATGTAAATGTATTTTGTAGAATATCTTATATACCTTATCATAGAGAGTTTTCTATTTTTCTTTTTTTTTTTTTTTTTTAATATTTATTTATTTAGTTAGTTATTGGCAGACACAACATCTTTGTTTGTATGTGGTGCTGAGGATCGAACCCGGGCCGCACGCATGACAGGCGAGCGTGCTACCACTTGAGCCACATCCCCAGCCCAAGAGTTTTCTATTTTTCAAAATACTTGAGTCAAGATTTAATTGGTGACTTTGTCCCAAGATAGAAATTCTTTTTTATAAATATAGGAGTATTAGCAAAATTCCTCTTTAAGTTCTATAAATGGAAGATAGATTAGTGCCATTCCAAATTAATAACAAGATAGTGTTAAACCTTTGTAATTTACTTTGCTATTTGTATATATTGAGCTTTTAAGTGAGTAAGAAAAGAACCACCTTGATTTGTAAATTTGTATAATGGATGAGTCATTTTAATAATTTTGTGCAAAATTTAAAATTTTTCTTGGTTATGATCAGAAATATTCAAGTAATAAAATTCTGAGACCCTATTCTTTCATAATACAGCAAATGTATAAAGGCAAGAATTATTTGAAATTAGGAATAATTTTGTTAGATTGGACTGAGTTAATTTTTCGGCTACTATTGAAAGGGATATTTCTTAGGAAGTAAAGATTAAAGAGAAACTATGTGAACTACCAAAGTTTACTTTAGTGAACTTTTCAAATATCATTTATGTGGATATTCACGAGGTAATTAAATGCATGTAATTTATTTGAATTCACTTTCTTTATAAACCATGATATGAACATTTGCCTCATGTTGATCAGCTTGCCTCTGCTTAATTCACATTACTTACATTTACATTTGTTTATACTTCTATTACCAATGAACAGCTTCTTTTATGTGATAATAAGGTACTTTGGTATAAGATAGTTTTAAATTTTTTCTCCATCAGAACTTCTGAGCTCTTTCTTGTTGATTTTCCTTAGTACTATCAAATCAGCTTCATCTTTGTAATGAACAATGTTTCTTCCCAGGGTTTGATTGGCATTTGGGGTAGGTGAATCTTTCATCTTCACATTACAAGCTTAGAATTTCTGACTCTTGGGTCCTAATGACCTGTGGCTCTCTCTAGTCATTAACATTTGAAAAAACGTTGTCATACTTTTTTCAGATTTTTATTAAGACCTGATAACATTTTAGGTTAAGAAACACTGATTTCATGTAGAATTAAATTAAATGCATTAATTTAGATCAGTAAATCAACATTCTCCAGATTAATTTTTATAAAGATAATGTGTTTTAATTTTCCCTTTGCTTCCTTCTAGTAATCTACCTAACTCCCAGCCTGCTTCATACCAGAGACGTCTCTTAGTTACTAGGTCTGGCAGGAAAATTAAAGGAAGAGGACCAAGGGTAGGTGATTTTTCACCCAGAAATTGTAATAGTATTGCATTTATCTCCTTGAAAGAATTGTAGAAGGTTAGGACAAAGCTCAGCGATAGAGCACTTGCCTAGCATGTGCAAGGCTCTAGATGTAATTCCCAACACTGAAAAAAAAATTTTTAGAGTGTTTTTTAAAATTATTTAAATTATTTTACTTATACAAATTACAAAAATTTAGGGCAGATGCAGATATTGAATAATATATCTCCTTTTTATAATAACTTTTATGTGTTGGTACTTCTAAACTGAAAATCTACAATAATTGATTTATATATTTACATGTTATATAATGTTTTCAAGGTCTTGTGACCCTTACTACTTCTTGCCTAGCATATCTCTACTCTTATTATACCTCTTTGTCTTTACTAGGTGTTCCCTTTCAGAATTTAAATACCTTCTATGCTTTCAAAACTTTTTAGAAATATAGCTATACTTTGTATTTCATTTACTAGGGTGCTTCAAGCATTTCAGTTTTTCTGTTACTACTACCATTCTCCTGAAAATAGTACTTGCTATATTTCGGTTCCAAGTCACAAAATCCAGGGGATTTTTTCCAGTATAGTTCACACTCCTCGAAGTTCTAGCTCATTTCATACTATACATGTTCCTTGGGCAGTCTCATTATTCCCATGGCTGAAAACTCAATTAATGAACAGCTCAAACCTAGCATATAGAAGGTTGAGCATAAGCACTTTTTCTTCAGACCTGACCCTTTTCTAACCCTGTAGCCCAAGTGTTATTTTAATCTACCCTTTTATTCATATTTTATATATCTTATCCATCCCAAAATCCTGTTAGTTTTGCCTGCTTGATACTCTGAAATCCACCTGCTGCTCTCAAGCTTCACTTTCACCATGTTAATTCAGTTTATCATTGTCTGAATTATAAATGGCTTCGCAACAGGTATTTTGGTACTTCTCAAGTTTTTTTGTTTGTTTGTTTGGATACTGCTTTACACTGTTAAAAATTTTGAGGACCCAAATAGTTTTTGTTGGTGTGAGTTATATCTATCTGTATTTATTCTTTTGAAAGTTAAAACTGAAAAATAATTTCAATCACAAGCATATTTAAGCACAAATTACAATTGCTATGAAGCAGTGACAACATGGCATGTAGTATCTGAATAACTCCCTGTAAGATAATGAAAGGACAGAAATTAGAAAGACAAATAGAATATTATTCTAAAAATAGTTTTGATTAAATAGATACCTTGTATCTTTCAATTCCTAGATCATACCTTGAGGATCACTGATCTAATTCTTTTTGTTAATAGCCAGAATAGTCAATTTTAAAAGAAAGAAAATCTGATCACATTACATCTACCATTGATCTTAGGATAAATCCAAAATTATTATTGTGGTTGATAAGACCAAGTATCATCTAGTCCTACTTTCTCTTGCAATTTTTAGCTTTAGTATATCTGACTTGTCTTCTCGTCATTTCTGAAACATGCTGTTTCTTTGTGTCTCAGAACCTTCAGCATAGTATTTTTCGCTTCCTTCCTCCTTTTTTTTTCCTTGCTAGAAGTAAAACCCAGGGCTTTATGGGTGCCAGATAAGTGCTCTACCACTCAGCTATACATCCCCAGCCCTCAGCTTGTATTTCTTACACCTTACTTGTTTTTCCTCATCTATCCTTTGCTTTCTTTTCTTTTTAATTTTATTAATTTATTTTGTGGTGCTGGGGATCGAACCGAGGGCCTTGTGCATGCGAGGTGAGCACTCTACCAACTGAACAGTATCCCCAAACCTTCTCTTTGCTTTCTTTTCCTCACCCTTCCCTATGTAACACATCATGAACCTTGTTTGGTTTTTCACCTTTTATTATTTTAACTGATCAAATCTCTTTTTAGATCAGATCTCTTTGTTACTTATTCTTTGAGCACCTTTTCTCCTTTTACACTCAATCTGGTCTAGTTGCATATGTTTGATATTCTGACTATGTATCTGTCCATGTGTTTTCCTCGCCCCTGTAGAATAAGTTTCAGGAGAGCAAAATCAGATATGTGTTGACTCACTGTTTTCTCAGTGCAAGATAGAGTAGTTAGCCATTCTAAGGCTGAGTAAATATTGGCTGAATAAATGAACATCTTTGTATATACAACATTCACATTGAATCTTAGCATCTTGTAAGAGTTAATATTTCCTAGTATGCTCTAACACCACTTGGACAGACTCTTCCATGGGAAAATATGTTTGGCTAGAGTTTCTGTAGTTAAAGTTTATTATTTGGAATGTATAATGTGACTACTTAAAGTTTCTCGGCCTTCTTGATTTCATACCTGAAAATTGGGGAATTTTAGTAATTTAATGGATGCTGGGAATTGAACCCAGAGCCTTATGCATGTGAAGCACAATACTCTCTACCACTGAACTTCACCCCCATTTCACTAAAATTAAGTAATTTTAGAGAACAGAGAAGTATCAGACATTTACTTGAATCTAGAAATGCTTTAGCTATTCTTACTTTGCTTTTACAGCATTTTGTTGTTCTGGTGTTGATTTTTTTCCCCTTTTTTATTTTCCTAAGCGTTACCGAACTCCTTCCAGATCCAGATCAAGGGATCGGTTCAGACGTAGTGAGACTCCTCCACATTGGAGGCAAGAGATGCAAAGAGCTCAAAGAATGAGGGTATCAAGTGGTGAAAGATGGATCAAAGGGGATAAGTAAGATTTACCTTTTATTTCTAGGTTTTTGTTTTTGTTTTTGTTTTTACTATTGTACATCAAATTATTAATAGCTATTTCAAAGATTTCTGCATGTTTTAAGGAAAACACATTATCTTTTAGCTATAGCTATTCTGTTCTTTTCCTAACAATATTGTCAAAAGTCTTTTTTCCCCTTTTTAGGAGTGAGTTAAATGAAGTAAAAGAAAACCAAAGGAGTCCTGTTAGAGTAAAAGAGAGAAAAATAACTGATCACAGGCATGTGTCTGAGAGTCCAAACAGAAAAAATGAAAAGGAAAAGAAAGTTAAAGACCATAAATCTAACAGCAAAGAGAGAGACATCAGAAGAAATTCAGAAAAAGATGATAAATATAATAAAAACAAAGTGAAGAAAAGGGGCAAATCTAAAAGTAGGAGTAAGAGCAAAGAGAAATCTAAAAGTAAGGAAAGAGATCCAAAACATAACAGACATGAAGAAAAGAGGATGAGGTCAAGGAGTAAAGAAAGGGATCATGAAAATGTTAAAGAAAAAGAAAAACAGTCTGATTCTAAAGGAAAAGATCAGGAAAGGAGTAGGAGCAAAGAAAAGTCTAAACAGTTAGAATCAAAAAATAATGAGCATGATCATAGTAAAAGTAAAGAAAAGGATAGACGTGCCCAGTCCAGGAGCAGAGAACGTGATATAACTAAAGCTAAACACAGTTACAATAGTAGAACAAGGGAACGAAGCAGAAGTAGGGACAGGAGCAGAAGAGTGCGATCTCGAAGCCATGACAGAGATCGAAGCAGAAGCAAAGAGTACCATAGATACAGAGAGCAAGAGTATCGGAGAAGAGGAAGGTCACGAAGCCGAGAGAGAAGAGCAACACCAGGAAGATCCAGAAGTAAAGATAGGAGGAGGAGGAGAAGGGATTCACGGAGCTCAGAGAGAGAAGAAAGCCAAAACAGAAACAAAGACAAATACAGAAACCAAGAAAGTAAGAGTTCACACAGAAAAGAAAATTCTGAGGGTGAGAAAAGAATGTACTCTAAAAATCGTGATCATAATAGCTCAAATAATAACAGGGAAAAAAAGTCTGATAGAGATCAAAGTCCATTCTCAAAAATAAAACAAAGCAGTCAGGACAGTGAATTAAAGTCCTCCACATTGAAAAATAAGGAGGATGAGAAGACCAGGTCCTCAGTGGAAAAAGAAAACCAAAAATCAAAGGGTCAAGAAAATGACCATGTACATGACAAAAATAAAAAATTTGATCATGAATCAAGTCCTGGAACAGATGAAGACAAAAGTGGATGAGTGAGTTGTGTAAACATTATTTCCTTTCTGTCTCAAAATTTAAGTTTTAGAGACTTGCTGATGAATCTCTTTTATGTTGTTTTCATTATTTTTGAGTTGTTTTATGTTTGCCCCCCACCCTTTTTTTTTTTTTTTTTAATGTGGACTTCATTGAGTTGATCTTTTGATAATCTGCAACCTGGATAATTTGTACTGCTAAAGTTTTAATAAACTTGAAATGAGAAAAACACTTTGGTGTAATACTGTGTGCTATGTTAAACTGTTTTATGTATGCATTTTTGTTTTAGCAGTCAGCCAGTGACAATTTGTTTAATCAGCCCTTTGGAAACAAGTATTTAACTGATGGTTGTAATACATTGTTCCAAAAGCTTGCATTTCTCATGATCAAAGTAACTTTAAAAGCCACTAGAAGAAATTTTGTATAGATTTTCTGATTGCATTTATAATAAAGACTTGCAGCAATTTCTCTTAATTACACAGAAGTGGGATCCTAGTAATTTGAGATTTGAAATCATAACTTTGTGCTTTAAAACAAATATTTATAGTTATTTATCTTGTACTTCATACACTATTCTTTATAGTTCTAGCCATAACTTGTTTCTTATTAACGCTTTTCTTGTCTAGTTTTGTTCTACTTAACTGTCTATAAAAATCATGAGTGTTGTTTGTTTTGGTTTTTTTGATGTCCCGATTGAACTTGAGTTGCTGTTATACAGCAATTGATAGGAATGATATCTTGGAAGATGAGACTGTAATTCCCTATGTTGTGTTTTTTGGTCTGAAGAGTTGAAAATGTTGCTTTTTGAGAACATTATTTTATTTTTATTATTGCCTCTTTCTAAAATTATCACTAAAACATGCAGGTCCTTAAGCTATAAAGATTCTAAAAATTGTTAGTATTGATACATTAACTTCTAAGATTTCTCTTTTTGGCAACCAACCTACATAGCTTTGAGTGTTAACTCTGCATGACTTTTGTTTTTATAAACTTAACTAACTTCTCTAACTCTTATAGCTGAGTTTCAAATGGCAAGAAAATGCATTTTTTCTATATATGTACCATGATAGGCTGTGGCATGTTTATGACTCTGGTTTCTTTCTATTTGGGTGGCTTTATACTATTACCGTTAAAATTATTTTAACTTGGCATGTATAACATTGCCATGTAGTGTAGAACAGAAAGTTGCAAAATTTGATAGCTTACAGAATTAAACACTAAACAGGTCCAAAGTCCATTCAGTTTTGTGTGTTGTATTTTGCTATTTTTGTGATGTGTGGCCTTTTATTCTGTAATATCTCTTATTAATAAAACATTGAACATCCAGCAAACACAAAACCTGCCTCATTTGAAAAGAAATTTCAAAATTCCAATTAATAGTAGCCTCTAGAGAGTTTTGTACTTTAATATTTGTCAATATAGTGTCAACTCTTATCAAGGTAGCTTCTTGGTAAATCCAATGTTATTTGTACTAAATAAAGCAATGCTTAATATGATATTTCCCATAATTGATTAATACAGTAATGATACATTTGGCATTATAGCTGTTGCAGACTGAATAGTATAATGATTATAAGATTGTTTGGAATATTTTGGAACAAATATCCATAATGCATTCTTTCTACTTTTTTTCCTGTGATGGTAAAAGTAGGATTTATTATAATCCAGGATGATTCCTTAGAGACTGACCACAAACCCTCATTAAATATAATTGAGTCTGAGTGCCCCAGCTGTATAATCTACTATATATTTTAAACAAATTGTTGTTTTGTCTTAAATTCAATAAATTGCATTTTAAAATCTGTCATGAACTATTTGAGCTTCAAGAAAGATACTATTTAAGAAAGGATTTCTAATAAGTTATATATATATTTTTAAAGTCCATCTAAGTAAAAATACTTCTATTACCTGATTCTAGAGCTTTATCTAGTAAGAATTATAGACAAGAACTTTCCAAATCTTTGAGTTTCAAAAAGTAGCCATATGGGGAAAATTTGTCATTTCTATAAGCAGTATGTTTAGATTATCAAAAGAACAGTTCCATGGTAAGCATTATTTATGGACCTTTTTAAAAAGCTGTTTTTACAGAAAGATGTGAAGGAGTTGAGATTTAGAAAGGACAATCAACTAGATTTTATTTTCAGAATATAAAGAACAGTTAGAAAATGAATAGGAGTATCAGTTGAACCCAAGACCCATACTTGTATTTGAATAGCACAGGCTCAAGTGGTCCTGTCCTTTTGTTACATTTTAGTAGTTGCATTTTTAGTTTTTACTTTGGGCATTGTCTGTTTTCCAAAAATTCAACTATTTTATTTTTTCCATCAAATTTATTTTAATTATCAGTTTACAATCCATTTCCAACTACCTTTGACTTAATATACCTTTTAAAGACATTTTCATTTGTTTTTATTGCTTGATTGGTGATAGCTGAGAAAAAATTTCCTGTATGTAGAATTTTCACAATCATTGTGTGAATTCTTTCTCTGGGTAAGCTATCTGCCACAGAAATTGAGACTACAAAGAGATTAATGTTAATGAAATTAACAATTGAGGAGCCATTGGGTTGATTTAAATTACTCTATAGTTTTTGAGTTCATAGAGCTATATAGTTACTAAATTGAAGCTTTTGGACACTGCAAAGAATTTATCTGATAAATCTCTTTGTATAAGTGTGATACTGATGCATGTTGACTTTGCTTGAATGGCCTTTGATTCTTGTGCCCAGTGGAATGTGTGAAACTAAAAGTTGTTGTTGTTTTTTGTTTGTTTTTTTTAATGTTATGTTATAGACAGGCACACATTGGGCTTCTGTTATTTTGCATAATTGTATTAACTGACAATTCTAATTTATTTTCTAGTTAGTATTTGGAGCAAGTTAGTAGATTTTTTAGTAGGTTGTACTTTGCTCCAGGTGGTAATAGTTTTCATCATACTGAACTTTTTATAGTAAATTTCTATAAGTTTGTTGAGTTTGCCTTCACCAGAAGGTACTTTAAATATATACTGTATAACTGACTGGTATAAAGAAACAAAATGGGTATTTTTTTTTTTTTAGTATTTTTTTTTTTTTTTTGGTTATTTTCACTGTAATTATTCCATTTAGAATTCATCATACATTTACAGTTATAAGTAACTTCTCCACAGTTTGTAGGTTGATACATTTTTATTGTGAAAAATGTGTTTTGTTCCAAATACTTATAACAGCCCCATGAAGTGCAGCATAGATTAGCACACCTGCCCATAGTAGGCTTCCTGGCTGCCTCTTAAGTGATACAAACTCTCTGGCCTGTTGTGTAACAAAGAGGTAAATATTAAAGGAAAAGAAAAACAACACTTTAAAAAAAAAAATCCATGAACAAGGTTGGAGAAGGGAGTTGTTGAGGGTTTTTTGGTTTTGTTTTTAGTTTTTCCAGTGGGGGAGGGTAGGATGGGGTTGATTTGTGTCCCTTGCCTCTGCCACTTTTCAGAAAAAATTCCATGTTACCAAAAGCACATGCTGTATATTTTCTTCCCTTTTTGTGTGTGTTTATAGTATTTTGAAAGATTAATAAATGAATTGGCTATTTCTATGTGAGGATGTTCAAAGTTGTGGCTGCTCTTTGTGGAAGGGAAAACAATGAAGTTAATGCACTTCTTTTCCTAGCTCAGAAGTCACTGTGATGTATATTTTTTTAATGAAATTCAGAAATACAACTGTTGTCTTCTCAATTGTAAAATTAGTTTCAAAATGCTGCTTCTCTTATCATTATTAGTCTAGTAACTGTTGGACTGTTTTCTGCAAATTGCATTTTACAAAATTTAAACTTCAAAACTGTATTAACTTTTATATAGTTAAACATTGTATTAAATAAACTATACTGTAATAAACAGTTTGTTGTTGATTTTTTTGTTATTGTGTTAGTAATTAACCTTTATAAAAAATTAAATAATGAAAATCAACTAAAATATACTTTAAGAAAACTTAAGTGAGATTTAATAGTACTAATCTTTAAGAATTTAGCTAGCAATGATAGTTTCTAGGTTTAGGATAAAGTTCTAGTTAGTATTAATGTTTAATCATAATATTGCTGTCTTCACATGGGATATACCCATGCAACAGAATACTATGTCAGTTAGAAAACTAATGAGGGTCTTTATGCATTCCTAAGCTGTGATCTTTAGTCTATTAAATGGGGGTGGTCTTTTGTGTAAGAGTAAAATGTGTGTATATGTGTGTATGTATATATATATTTTTAATATAGTTTTAGTTGCAGTTGGACACAATACTTTTTTTTTTTTATTTTTATTTGGTGCTGAGGATCGAATCCAGTGCCTTGCACTTGCTAGGTTAGCACTCTACCGCTATATATTATATTATATTGTATTATATTATATATATCTATAATCCAACAAAACTAACCAATGGAAATGAACAAAGGTGGTCATTTGACATTTCTACCATGTAACATACAAATGGCCAGCAAGAATATGGAAAGAGGCTGGGTGTGGTGGTACACACCTATAATCTCAGCAACTCGGGAGGTTGAGGCAGGAGGATCTGAAGTTGGAGCCAATGGCAGCAACTTACTGAGACGTTGTCTCCAAAAAAGGGGGGGGCTGGGGATGGGACTCAGTGATTCAGTACCCCTGAGTTCAATCCCTGGTACCAAAACATAAATATATGGGATTGTAACTCAGTTGTAGAGCTCATGTACAAGACTCTGGGTCAGTCTTCAGTTGCAGCAACAACAAAAATGCTCAACATAACTAATTATTAAAGAAATAAAAGTTAAAATCATAGAACACCTCAATTAGGATGGCTACTATAAAAAATAAGTGTTGCTAATAACATGCACCCTGGTGCAGTGTTGGGAATGTAAAATGGTGCAGCTGCTGTAGAAAACAGGAAAGTTTGGGCTGGGGTTGTGGCTTAGTGGTAGAGCACTTGCCTAGCATGTGTGAGGCACTGGATTTGATCCTCAGCACCACATAAAAATAAATTTAAAAAGGTATTGTGCCCATTTACAACTAAAAATATTTAAAAAGAAAACAGAAAAGTTCCGGGCTGGGGATACAGCTCAGTTGGTAGAGTGCTTGCCTTGCATACACAAATAAGGCCCTGGGTTCAATCCACAGTACCACACACAAACAACAACAACAACAAAAAAAAAAAAACGTTCAAGAATTTTTAAATGGAATCATGTGATTCAACAATTCCACTTCTGGGTATAAATCCAAAATAATGGGGAAAAAAATGGAAAGCATCTCAAAAAGAGTTAGTTGCATGTGTTCATAACAGCATTACTCACAATAGCCAAGAGGTGAAGAAATCAAAGTGTCCACTTATGAAGAACTAAATAAACCATTTTTGGTGTATGTATACAAATATATTGTGTATATTTACATGCACATGCCATGGATATTCAGGTGTTGTTTTTTTTAACAGATTTTTTTTTAAGTTTTCAATGGACACAACATCTTTATTTTATTTTTATGTGGTGCTGAGGATCAAACCCAGTGTTCTGCGCATGCCAGGCGAGCATGCTACTGCTTGAGCCACATCCCCAGCCCGGATATTCAGTTTTTTAAAAAGTAAGTTGGCCTGGGGTTGTGGCTCAGTGGCAGAGCACTTGCCTCACATGTGTGAGACACTGGGTTCGATTCTCAGCACCGCATATAAATAAATGAATAAGATGAAGGTCCATCAACATCAAAAAAAATTTTTTTTTTTAAATAAGCTGGCACAATTGTATATAGTTTAAAATTAGGCTGGGGTTGTGGCTCAGTTTGTAGAGTGCTCACCTAGCATGTGTGAGGCACTGGGTTTGATCCTCAGCACCACATAAAAAAATAAGTATTATGTCCAACTACAACTAAAAAATAATTTTAAAATAACTATATGCTGATACATGTTACAACATGGAAATAGTCTTAAAAAAAAAGACATGCACTGATTACACTTACATGAGGTGTCCAGAGTGACAAATTTAATAAAAGAATGGTAGCTTCCAGAAGTTGAAGGAAGAGGGAAATGGGAAGTAGTTGCTTAGTGGATATAGAGTTTCAACTGCAAGATGACAAGGTTCTAGAGATTATATGATGTGACTATCTCGTATACTTAGAAATGGTTAAGATGGTAGCATATTATGTGGGTTTTTTTTTTTTTTAATTTTTAAAGAGCAAGGGAATGCAACTCAAAAATCCTCTGACCCTGCATATCAAGTTGTGACAAAATGGTGTAGAATTACTTTAAGTGACTTCAAAACGTATTTTGTACTCACTTTGGCAGCACATATACTTTAAAAAATTGGAACAATATGGAGAAGGTTAGCATGGCCCTTGCACAAGGATGACATGCAAATTCATGAAGTGTTCCATATTTTTAAAAAATGTAGTATGTTGGGCTGGGGTTGTGGCTCAGCGATAGAGCGCTTGCCTAGCACGTGTGAGGCACTGGGTTCAATCAGCACCACATAAACAAAATAAAGGTACCCAACTATGACTATTTTTTTAAAAAATGTATTTTGCACATCTATCTACAAAATAAACCATAGACTACTACACTCAATAATCAATGTTACTAATAACAGTGTTATTTGATCCTGATACTTAAGGACGGAGCAAATAAGTATAAATTTCTATCGAAAAGAAATACATCCTGTGAAATGTTACACAGCCATAAAAAGGAATGAAGTATGGATATGTGTTGCAACATGGATGAACCCTGGAAATACATGAAATAAGCCACCCAAACCCAGAGCATGTTTTTTTTTTTAACTTTTTTTTTAATATTTATTTTTTAGTTTTTGGCGGACACAACATTTTTGTATGTGGTGCTGAGGATCGAACCCGGGCCGCACGCATGCCAGGCGAGCGCGCTACCGCTTGAGCCACATTCCCAAAAAAGTATGTTTTAATTTAGATGAAATATGTAGAACAAATGCACAGAGACAAAGCAGAAGCTGTGGGAGGGGGAATAACTGCTTAATGGGTGCAGAGTTTCCATTTGGAGCAATGAATAGTCAGGTTGCACAATATTGCGAATATACTTAATGCTATTGAATACACATTTTAAATAAATTTTGTGTATTTAATAATTAAAAAAGGAATTGCAATCAGTTACCTTTAGGGTTATATATACTCAAAGGAAATATTGTGCCAGGTTCAGTCCCCAATACCAAAAAAGAAAAGAAATATTTTGTGAAGAATCAAATCAGGTATAATTGTATTGAGATGAATGACAGATTTATTAAATAATAAGAATATAGTCCATTTACATTTGTAGCTCATTTGCTACCACTTCAGTCTTCTCAATCTTAAAAATTATTTTTTCTACCATGTAAAACCTAATCTTCCCTTAGACTTCTGAAAATTATTATATTTTGATCCCTGAGAATTATAAAAAGGAAGCTGGACTCCAGTAATATCATTTGCCTGATAGCTTGGTCTTAATCCACCTCTCCCCATAAAAGCTGGTCCGTGGCCACCTCCAGGTCTTTCCTGTGCAGATTTTACAAGAGGATAAATAAATTTATTTGTTGATTCAGATTCATGTTTAATTACTTCTCTGGCATAATCCTGAAATTCTTTCTCCTTGGCAGCTGCAAGAGTTTCAGTAAGTCTGCAATATTCTAATTCGTTTTGTTTTGCTTCTTTTGCATTAAACTTCTTTTGGGCCTATGTGGGAAAGAAAGGAAATACAATTTAGTATTGGCTAAAAACATGAACTTTCTAAATATATGTAGCATTTGGAGTTATAATTTTATAATTTGACAATATGCTATTCTTACAGAAACTCCCACTCCCAGCTTTCTCAGAACAGTATGTTCAAAGTCTGCCTCTATAGAACCTAATCATAGGGGCTGGGGTTGTGGATCAGTGGTGGTACACTTGCCTAACACGTTTGAGGCACTGGGTTTGATCCTCAGCACTACATAAAAATAAATCAAGGTATTAAATAAAAACTTTAAAAAAAAACTTAATCTTACTTGTCTCATATAATACATCTTCAAACAAACAATACAATAAAATAGTTTTTAAAAATCATGAAGTTTTAGGTCAAAAAATAACTGAAAAAGAAAGGGGAAGGAAGAGAAATGGAATATATCAAGAAATCAAGTGAGTTATAACTTTTCTACTTGTAAAAATCCAGGCAGGCCCAGTTGATTTTGCTGGTTAGAGCATTTAAAGAACTGACACCAATCCTATAAAAACTCAGAAAATACTGGGGCTGGGGATGTGGCTCAAGCAGTAGCGCGCTCGCCTGGCATGCGTGCGGCCCGGGTTCGATCCTCAGGACCACATACAAAACAAAGATGTTGTGTCCGCCGAAAAATAAAAAATAAATATTAAATTTCTCTCTCTCTCTCTTAAAAAAAAAAACAGAAAATATAAAGGAAGAAACATTTGCCAATTGAATTAGGTCAGTATTGCTCTATGAAAGCTAGACAGACAGCATAATAGAACTACAGAACATTGTCTTCATGAACAAAGGTGCAAAAATCCTTAACAAAATACTAGCAACTGAATCTAGTCATATATTTAAATATATACGTATTTTTTAAACCCACAATGACCAAGTAGGGTTACTCCAAAGAATACAAATGCTTTCAATATTTAAAATAAAATGAAATGAGCCAGCATGGTGGCGTACACCTGTACTCCCAGCTACTTTGAAGTCTGAGGCAAGAGGATCACTTGAGCCCAGAAGGTCGAGGCTAGACTGGGCAATATGGTGAGACTCCATCTCAAAAAATGAAAGAAATATACCATAGAATAAAAGAACACATGGTCACTTCAATATATGAAGAATTGACAAAATTCAACATTCATGTGCTAAAAACTAAGCAAATTAGAAATAGAGGAAACCTAATCAAAGTGATAAAGGGTATTTATTACAAATCTCTGGAGGGGCTGGGGCTGTGGCTCAGCGGTAGAGTGCTCACCTAGCACGTGCAAGGAGCTGGGTTCGATCCTCAGCACCACATTAAATAAATAAGTAAATAAAATAAAGGTATTGTGTTCAACTAAAAAATTATAGGAAACATCATGTTTTAATGGAGAAAAACTGAATATCTTACTCCTAAGATTAGGGGCAAGACAAGGATATCACTTTTTGCTCTTTTATTCAATATGGTGCTGGTTCTAGAAAGTGGAATAAATCAAGCAAAAGAACTAATATACACTTATTTGGAGGCGAAAAATTAAAGCCATCTATTCACAGACAACATGATCACATATGTAAAAGTTGTAAAGAATTACCAAAGAGCTAATAGGACTCATAACTTTGGCAGGGCTTCCGGTACAAGTTAATATATTAAAAATCTACTGTGTTTATACATATTGTAAATAAATAGAACAAATATGGAAATAAACAATTTCACAAGGACATTTTTAAAAACAAAAATAAATTTAGCAATATATATAAATGACCTATTAACCCCAAACTACAAATACTGAAAAAGAATATTAAAAGAGAAATAAATGCATAATATTCATTAATTTGAAGACTTGATGATATTATCATCCCCAAATATTTTCCATAATTCTCCCCAAATTACTCTGTATTTATTGAAATCTCCAAAACTCCTGCAGACCTTTTATTGTAAAACTCAACGAGCTGATTATAAAATATATAATTCCAAGAATTCAAGATAGCCAAAACAATTTTAAAACAACAAAGTCAAAGAACTTACACTGCTGATTTCAAAGACTTTGTATAAAGTTATAGCAGTCAAGTAGTATGATATGAGGGCGGGGGCTAGGGCTCAATGGTGAACTTGCCTAGCATGTGTGACACAGTAGGTTCCATCCTTAACACCACATAAAAATAAACAAAATAAAGGCATTCTGTTCATCTACAACTAAAAAAAGTTAAAAAAATTTTAAAAAGTATGGTATTATTACAAGAAAAAAACAAAGGGCTGGAACATTGCTCAGGTAAAGAGTATACTTAGCATGAATGAAGCCCTCGGTTTAATGGCTCAATTCCCAGTTACACACACACACACACACACACATACACACAGACATATATATGCATACACATATACATACAAATACACACATATAGACAGATATCTAAATACAGATTAATATGAAGGAATTGAGAGTCCGGAAATAGATCCACTCTTAGGTGATAAATTGCTTTTCAACAAAAGTTCCAGAGTAATTAATTAATTAGAGAAACCATAGTTCATTATCAAACTGTTCTGAAATAACTAGATATCTGTATGGAAAAAAAATAGTTTTGATCTTTTACATCATATATCAAAATTAATTGAAAACATATCATATACCTAAGCTATAAAAGCAAAAGTATTTCTAGAAGAAAACAGGACAAAATCTTTATGATCTAGTTTTTTTTTTTAATTTTTTATTGTTGGTTGTTCAAAACAATATGATCTAGTTTTAGTCTCTGCAATGACACAAAAAGCATAAATCACAAAGTAAAAACCAAAAAACTGGCCTTTATCAAAATCAAAACATTTGTTCATCAGAAGATACTATTAAGAAAATGAAAAAGCAGGCTGGAGTTGTGTTTCAGAGGTAGAGAGTTCCCGTAGCTAGTTCCCTAGCATGTATGAGGCACTGGGTTCAATCCTTAGCACCGCATAAAAATAAAAAATAAAGGTAAAAAAAGAAAATGAAAAAGCAAATCACAGATTAGGAGAAAACACTTGCAAACACAAAACTGACAAAAAACCTCTATACTTAAAGAACTTTTGAAATTCAACAGTAGTCTAGAAACAAACCCTCACATATGTGAACTAATGATTTTCAATGAGCATGCCAAGACTCATTGGAGGAGAGTCATTGGAGGACAGTCTTCAACAATAGTGTTGGGAAATCTGAATATTCTGCAAAAGAATGAAGCTAAACATATAAAAAGCCACATACAAAAATTATCTCAAAAGAGATCAAAGACCTAAACTTAAGAGTAAAAACTATGAAACTCGTAGAACAAAACAGGAAAAGCTTCAAGACATTGACTCAGGAACTTCGTCTTGGGTATGACATCAAAAGCATAGAATGAAACAACAAAAGGAAAAAACACAAAATGGCCGTAAAGAAAATGAAAAATCTTTGTCTGGGCTGGGGTTGTGGCTCAGCAGTAGAGTGTTCACCTAGCATGTGCAAGGCCCCGGGTTCGATCCTTAGCACCACATAAAAATAAATAAATAAAGTATTGTGTCCAACTACAACTAAAAAATAAATTTAAAAAAAATGTAGAAGATACTATTGACAGAGTGAGAAGATAATCCATGGAATGGGAGAAAATATTTACTTGTCCTACCTCTGACAGGAGATTAATATTCAGAATATAAAAGAACTCCTAAAACCCAACAACAAAAAGCAAACAACCCAATTTTAAAAAATTGATAAGGACGGGAGCAAACATTTCTCCCCAAGAAAATACACAAAAGACCAATTAGTACCTATATCACTATTTAAAACCAAAATGAGGTCCTTTTTTAAACCTACTTTGATGGCTATTACAAAAAAAGAAATAAAAAGACGTACTATTTGAAGAAATTGAACACATGTGCATTGCTAATCGAATGTAAAATAGTGCAGCCACTATGAAAATCAACTTGATAGTTCCTCAAATATAAAACACAGAATTAGCAAATGATCCAGTGACTTCACTCTGCCTATGCAAGCAAAAGGAAAGCAGGGACAGTGGCTGGCGGTGAGGGAAAAGGCTTGGGCAGAAGGATCCCAAACTCAAGGCCAGCCTGAGCAATTTAGCAAGACCCTGTCTGAAATTTAAAAAAAAAAAAAAAAAAACCAGCTAGGGATATAGCTCTACTGTAGAGTGCTTGTCCAGCATACACAAGGCCCTGGGTTTTATCACCAACACTGCAAAAATTAAAAAAGAACTTGAAAGAAGGAACTCAAATAGATATTTTATTCATATACCTGTTAGAGTCTGTAAACAAGTCAGGATGGTGCCTGGAAAATGTGAGTCTGTAAACAAGTCTGGATGGCGCCTGGCATTTTGCCAGAGGGAGTGGTTTGTGAAGTAACACCAGCGAGCCATTAAGTGTGGAGATTCCTTATTGGTTGACTGCTGTATCTAGTTTGTGCTAATTAAGATAAGCTGTGTGGAATGTATAAATATCGCTCGGGTCCTACAATAAACGGCTCCCACTCCTGCTGTATCAATCTACACAAGTTGCTTGTGTCCCCCCCCCGCCCCCGTTATTTTGCTGCAGCCGGACTGCGGCATATACCAGTGTTCACAGAAGCATTATTCATAATAGCCAAAATAACCCAAAGGTCCATCCATAAACAAAATGTAGTATAAACATATAATGGAATATTACTCAGCTTTGAAAAGTAATGAAACTGATATACATGCCACATGTATGACCCCACATGGATGAAGCTTGAAGACATTATGCTAAGTGAAATAAGCCAGACAAAAAAGGATGAATATTGTATGATTCCACTTATATAAGGAACCTAGATCAGATTCATAAAGCCAGAGATAATTAAGGCTAGAGGGAAGAAGGAATGGGTGGTTACTATTTAATAGGTACAAAGTTTTAATATAGGATAATTAAAAAGTTCTAGAGATGTGCTCACTTCAGCAGCGCATATACTAAATTGGAATGATACAGAGAAGATTAACATGTCCCCTGCACAAGGATGACTAGGAAATTCATGAAGCA